GCTGAAAAACACATGCACGTCAAGTGTTGTTATTATATTTTGGGGGTAGAATGCAGAATATTGTGGAAGGGGCATCTGGTTAAATTCTAGCTGTGAGGAACCCCTGCCAGGTCAGGCCTGCAATTCCTGCGTTTGTGCTTTGCCAAAATGCCACCATCTCTGGCCCATGTGGATTTGAGGCTGGCTTCGCAGCCCTTTGAAATGTTGGTCGGAACTTTTTTCAGCTGTTTTCGGAAGCTTCCTGTATTAGCAACCAGATTAATCTCGGTCTTTGCGTCATGTTCTTTTTCTCAACTGGAGCTATTTTTAAGGGAGCTGGAGAGCTACAAAGGAAAGGAGGGAGGGGAGGAGGAGAGGAAGGAGTTGGAAGAGGAGGAGGAGGAGAAAGAACGAGAAAGAGAAGGAAGAGGAGGAGGAAGAGAAGTGGAGAAGGAGGAAGAGGAGGAGGAAAAGGAGGAAGAAAAGGAAGAGAAGAGAAGGCAGAAAAGGAGAAGGAGGAGGAAGAGGAAAAGAAGGAAGAGAAGAGGAGATGGAGGAGGAAGAGAAGGAGGAAGAGAAGTGGAGAAGGAGGAAGAGGAGGAGGAAAAGGAGGAAGAAAAGGAAGAGAAGAGAAGGCAGAAAATGAGGAGGGGGAGGAAGTGGAGAAGAAGAAGGAAGAGAAGGAAGAAGAGGAGATGTAGGAGGAAGAGAAGAGGAGGAGGAGGAGTGGGAGGAGGAGGATTCTAATATCATTTTAAGTTTTCCACTCTTTTCTCTGTTTTGCCATACTTCAAAGGATAGGAAAAGAACCTTAATGTTATATGCAGATAAGACCATGGTATTTAAGAATAGGCAGTCCATGACTTAATGGAGACAATTTGGGCCGGGTTACTAAACAAGGTGTTTCTTAAGTGAATCACGCTTGATTTTATCACCTTTTTTTTGCCACGGTTCTTAAACAAAAAGACTGCAGTTGTTAAGTGAATGATGCAGTCATTAAGTGAATCTGGCTTACCTTATTGATTTGGTTTGTTAGAAGCCGGCTGGGATAGTCACAGATGGTGATCCCATGACCCCGGGGATGGTACAACCATCGTAAATACATGTTGGCTACCAAGCACTGGAATTGCTGGCCCCGAAACGGCCAGCCACGAGCGATTCAATCACGTGACCATGGGGTACAGCAGTAGTTGTAAGGGTGAGGACCAGTGTAAGTCCTTTTTTTTCAGTGCTGTTGTAACTTGGAACAGTTGCTAAACGGATGGTTATAAGCCGAGGAATACCTGTATGGTAAAGAAATGAATTCAGCACCTTGGAGAGCTCCCAGAGACAGAGATGTTGCTCTCCTGAATGAATTCTTCCATTCCCTGTTTTTAACTGGCGTTGTTACCTTCTGGCATAGTTGCGTGTGACCCGAATGATTCTCGCTGGCCTTGAGGTACAACCAGGAGCCCAGGGATGATCACTGAGACATTCGGGGCCTTCTTCCTAGAATGAAGCCTAGGAGACAAAGACGCTCAAACAAAGGCCAGCTTGCAATTCTTCTCCTAGCTTAAGAGCGGATTGCACCAGGCCATGGGAGACCCAATTATTGTGTCCTTGCACTCAAACAGTTGCGAGGAGGAGTGGGGGGAGAGCTTCAGCCTGGCCTCCCCCTCCCCCAGGAATCATTACCCTCCGGTTTTCTCCCACCACAGTCCTTCGCAAGCATTCCTTACTCAGCCGGCTGCATGTTGGGCCTCCCGCGCCATCCTGAAGGATGCAGACACATTTGCACGATTCATTGACAGTTGCGTAGGTAGCTCTCCGAAGCTGTTTCCGCTCTTTCGCACGCTCTTCCCCTCCCCCCTCCTCCTTCCAGATAGGAGTCCCCACTCCACTCCTGCCTGGCAGGAAGCTCCCACCCCTGCTTCTCTGGGCATTTGCCAGGAGGCTTACATTCTGCAATGGCCTGGCATCCGCCTGTCAATCAGAGGCAGGGAAGGGAGACAGGCCATGGGTGGGGTAGAGGGGCGATGATGCTTTTTTCCTTCCCCCTAGGATGCGAGGGATGCTCTTGAGCAAATTCACGTCCTGCTTTTTTTTTTTTTGCCAGAATAAGCAAAAAAAGAGATTCGTCTCCCCGAGTGTTTTATTTTGAGCTGCATGGTGCCCCTTGCAGTCAATGGGGCGTAGGGATTTGGGAAGGGGTCTCGTCCTTATGCACCTGGCTTGGTGCCAGGATGCAAGCATGGGTAGATCTAAAGCAAACTTGCTGGGGTACTTTGTCATAATTTCTCATATCGGAGCATCTTGTTTCATGCACACCTTGTATTTTTTCAATTGAATACATCTGAAGAGGAGAGGAGAGGAGAGGAGAGGAGAGGAGAGGAGAGGAGAGGAGAAGAGAAAAGAAGAGAAGAGAAGAGAAGAGAAGAGAAGAGAAGAGAAGAGAAGAGAAGAGAAGGATAGGAATAGGAAAAAATATAGAATAGAATAGAATAGAATAGAATAGAATAGAATAGAATAGAATAGAATAGAATAGAATAGAATAGAATAGAATAGAAGATCCGCTCTGCCGTGCTTATCAGCTGGGCTTCAAACGAAGGTGTTAACTCAAAACTATTTCTCTTGTCTTTTAGAGTTGTGAATAGAAAGAGAGTTGGGGGGGGGAAGTAATACATACCTTAGATAATTGCTAGGCAGGCGAAGCTCCTGGCACGCAAGATTATTACTGGAGAGCATGATTGATGACTCTTGGCTATGGACGTGTCCCATTGGAGAATTGGGTCCAGGTTGAGATGAATGATGTGTCTCAGAGTCGGCTGCACCCAGGTAATGCCGGCATGTTCACTCCTAATAAATGATTTTTTTTTAAACTCTTGAGAGATGCGGCTAGAGACTCATGGTTCAAATGGGGGTGGATTGACGGAGCCCTGACAAAAGGAAATAGAGGACAGACTAGTTCAGGGACAGGGCGGGGCGGGCGGGGCCAACTCATTGCTGGAACTACCGGTTCGCCCGAACCGGTCCGTACCAGCTGAATCCCACTCCTGATGATTGTGGGTCATTCTGTGAAATGCTTCGTGACCCTCGACCCAGGATGGTCATCGGTCGAGGACTTGACTGGAATCTTAATTTCTGCAGAGAGGCCGAAAGGGCGTTGCCGCGAGCCAGGAGTGAGCCGGCTGCCGCCATGGAGAACGGGATGCAGCTGCTCAACCGGGACGGCCACAGCATCTCCCACAACTCCAAGCGGCACTACCACGACGCCTTCGTCTGCATGAACCGCATGCGGCAACGGGGCCTCCTGTGCGACATTGTGTTGCACGTGGCCGCCAAGGAAATCAAGGCGCACAAGGTGGTCCTGGCCTCCTGCAGCCCCTACTTCCACGCCATGTTCACAAGCAAGTATCTGGGGTAGGGATGGGAGTGCGGGGAATCTCCTTCTAGAGCAGGGGTTGCCAACCTTTGGGACCCCAGGGACCACCAAACTCATAATGTTAAATCCCGCGGACCAGAGACCCTGGGAAAATCCCCAAAAAAGTCTGCAGGAAAATCCCCCACCCTGTTTTCCTACCGATCGATCATTCTTTATTTGGGATCGCAGGATACCGTCTCCAGCTCCATTCTCGGGGGTGGGGGGGGAGAGAGAGAGACTTTTGGCTTCATGCAAGGAAAACAGCAGAAGCAGCAGAAGTCTTTCTTTCTCTCCCCCAAACTCCCGCCAGAAATGAGTCTTTGTGAGACTTGTCCCGCCAGCGCAGCCTCTTGGAGCAGGAGGCTTTGCAGGGTCCCAAAGACTCATTTCTGGCGGAGTTTGGGGGAGAGAAAGAAAGAATTTTGCCGCTTGTCTTGCATGCAGCCAAAAGCAGAAGAAGAAAGAAGCGGAAAGAAGTAGCCCGATGCCCAGGCCAGGCGCTTGGGGTGAGTGGGGCAAGTTCCCCCCCTCTGCCCTTTCCCCCCTCCCCTCACCACCTTGTGTTGTTTGCAATGCAAGCAACGCAAGCCTTGTGTTCCCACGGGCCACGTGGGCAGCGCAGCCTTGTGTTCCCACACAGCCTGGATTAATTGTTTTGGGAGTGACATTTCTCTGTGGACCACCAAAATTTTCTCACGGACCACCAGTGTTCCCCAGCCCATTGGTTGTCAACCACTGTTCTAGAGATTGCTAGAATCAGAATGTGGAGAAGCCTTCCTCAATCTTGGGTGAATGGCCATCTAACTGGGGGTGATTGAATAACAGAATAAGAGAGTTGGTCCATCTTCTACTCCAAAACCTTGCCAGAAAGCAGGAGACTCTATACCCGTGACGGAGAACCTAAGGCACATGTGCCAGAAGTGGCGTGCAGAGCCCTCTCTCCAGGCACTCCAGCCATCGCCCGTCGCTCTTCCGCATTCCAGTGCACACATGCATGCCAGCCAGCTGGTCTTCATGCACGTGGGAGTGCGGGGAACCAGAAGACCAGCTCCCTAGTGCGCATGTGCACCCTGGGAAACTGAGCTTCTGGTTTCCGGCGCGTGCATGCATGCACGCTGGCCAGCCGGTTTTCGCGGAAGCATGCACACAAGAAACTGGAAGACCAGGTGGCCAGCACACATGCGCACACCGGGGAGCTGCTCTTCCGTTTTTTGGCGCTCCCATGTGTGCACGCCGGTGGGGGGCTGCTCTTCCGGTTTCCCCCTTGCGCACGCGCTCCCATTTCGGCCCTCTTTGCCGAACACAATAAATCATTGTCCAATCTGTTCTTAAAAGCCTTCAGTGATGGAGGAAAGTCATTGATTGTTTTATTGTTCTCACAGTCAGGAACCTTCTCCTTAATTCCAGGTTGCTTCTCTCCTCGATGAGTTTCCATCCGTTGCTTCCTGTCCTGCCTTCGGGTGCTTTGGAGAATATTGGAAGACTGCTATCATGTCACCCCTAGTCCTTCTTTTCATTAAGCTAAACAAACCCAGTTCCTGCAACAGTTCTGTTTAACGAGGGTCTATGCAGCTCTCATGAAATCTATATAGGGTTTTTTTTTTAAATCTATTGGCACAGATGAGATGAGTGAGAGCCGTCAGACGCACGTCACGCTCCACGATATTGATCCACAGGCTCTGGAGCAGCTGGTCCAGTATGCCTACACTGCTGAGATCGTGGTGGGAGAAGGGAACGTCCAGGTAAGAACGGATCCATCCAGCAAGAATTCAAAGTGGGCCAACAATGCTTTTGGCGGAAGAGCACTGTCAGGCCTGCTCCAGTAGGATCCCTTAGGAAAGAGAGACCCTCGACTCCCATTTGGTTGAAGCGAAAGGTTCTTTTACTAAAAAAGAGGTTGGTTGCAGTAAAGTCAGGCTAGATCTAGCTCAAAAGTTAGAGAAAGGTTTCCCCTCATCCCAGTCCTCCACCCCATGATTGTCTTCAGCCAATCAGAACTCGCCGAAGTGTTTTGAGAACACTGAGGTGTTGGGGGGGGCGGTATTTCACATTCTTTCTCAGAGTGCCTGGCCTTGGATTCTGGTACAAACCGATTCCAAGCTTTTCTCCTTTATCACAGGTATCTTCAAAAATTAGAGGCTTTTCCACTGAGCTTAGATAGAAGGTACAGCTTTTTGAAAATTGTATATATATAATTTGCTATCCATCTAGATAGATAGAGAGAGAGATAGAGAGAGAGAGATGATAGATAGAATCTATCTATCTATCTATCTATCTATCTATCTATCTATCTATCTATCTATCTATCTATCTATCTATGGTGTTCAGCTTTGTTCGGGTATTTTCCCACCTCATTGTAGTTGTGCTTTTAAAGTTGTAGCAGCGTTTCAGCAGAATCTCATCTGCCATCATCAGGCTTCTGTATTGTGTTCGTCTGTGGATGTCTCCAAGACGGTTCATCAGAAGCCTGATGATGGCAGATGAGATTCTGCCGAAACGTTGCTACAGCTATAAAAGCACAACTACAATGACGTGGGAAAATACCCGAACAAAGCTGAATACCATACATGTAAGTACCCGCGAAAACTTAAGAAAATAAATATACATACATACACACACAGAGAGAGAGAGAGACAGATAGAGAGAGACAGAGAGAGAGAATTATATATATAGCAAACAGAATGTTTAAAGCTACAAAGATAGAAGGAAGAAACAGGCATATTGTAACCACCTAATCAGCCATATAGTTTTGGTCCTTGCCCAGTGTGAGATCTACATTGTGGATTGTCTGTGGAACTCCTGGCCACAAGAATGCAACCCAGAGTCTCTCTCCCTCTCTCTCTCCCCCCCAGACATTGCTTCCTGCAGCCAGCCTCCTGCAGCTGAACGGGGTACGGGATGCCTGCTGCAAGTTTCTCTTGAGTCAATTGGACCCCTCCAACTGTCTGGGCATCAGGGGTTTTGCAGACACCCACTCCTGCAGCGATCTCTTGAAATCGGCACACAAATACGTCTTGCAGCACTTTGTGGATGTCTCCAAGACGGAGGAGTTTATGTTGCTGCCTCTCAAACAGGTGAGACTGGGGTGGGGTGTGTGGCATCCAGGTGGAGGTAAAAGAATACCGAAGAACCCAGCACAGTCATGATATTATATTTTAGCGTGAGACAGGAGGTACCCACAGAGGTATGGGTGTATTTACTATGTATTTACACTGCCAGGAACCCGGAGGACTTATAGTAGATTCTGGGGTTAGAGTTGGGTTTCTGTGCTCTGTCCCTCGGAGAAAAAAATCCCCAGTCTGAAGGAGTGGAATTCCCTCTTAGCATTCCAGGTTGAGCGAGAGAGAGAGACATCGCTTGGAATTGTCTTTGTCCGAGGCAATTCCATCCTCTTGGATCCTGGTTGAGCCATTGCTCGGAATTGTCTTTATTCAAATCAATGCCATCCTTGGATCCAAGAAGACTCATTGCTCAGAATTGTTGAGGTCAATTCCATCCTCTTGGATCCAGGT